GTCCCCTTTCACCCAAAGAGCTCAGAATGCAGAAAAGCACACACATACTCACATTTTCATAAACTATGTCCATAAACAAACATACATGTTCCAAGGTAAATAAATAAACTTACACATGGGAACGGGAATGCATAGCAGCAGAGGGAGGGATGCCTCTGTGTTAGGAAAGAAGGGGGCCCTATACTTACACACCACTGAAATGCCTGTGGATGCCGAGGGAGAACATGTGACCCAACTAGATAACCTCAGAGCCAATGAGTAAACAGAGATGGACAAACATCCTCCCGATCACACACGGGGGCTTACGTCTTCCCCCACTGCCTTAGCTGCCCTACTTAAAAGGGTGGCTCTGCCCAAATAAGTTTCTTCCTGACACGACTTCATTTCCTCTCAAAACACAAACCTGCCAATTAGGACTTCCTCCCCAGAAACACAGTGACCCATCTTCCAAGACGGATTGGCTCAACACTATATCCATGACCTCGTGTGGTCCTCTCCACAGTCCCTGTGAAGTGAGTGCTGTTACCATTTCCACATTACAGAGGAGAAGACTGAGCTGATGAAGATTAAGTGACTTGACCAAGGTGCTAGGGTTCAAACCCAGCTATGCCTGACTCCAGAGCTCACGCCATTTCCCACTGGGCCACAATGCCCACTCACACTGTGCTGCAGGACTGCCTGCTGGCCCCCACCCAAATCCTCCTTCCTGGTGGGGGTCTGTAGCCTTCTGCTGGAATCCAGAGCTCCTAGACAGGGCAGGTGCCGCTCATTTCCACAGCTTCATTCCCTCATTTGCTCCAAGTCTAACCTAAGCAACACGCTTGGGGACCTCTAGGAGGGAAACTAACTAAGGAAATAAACTGCTTCTTCCAGTTACAGTGCCATCCAAAGCAGAAGGGAGCTATTAAAGGCAGTGACAGGGCTCGGCTGTTTGCAGCCGTGCAACCTGCCCTGCCTGCAAATGCACAACTGCACCGGTTTGGCATCACTCAACTGCACAACTCATTGTGCACCTAATTAATGGAATGCAAAATCACAGCCCCCTGCAATCCCACACATCGAAGGATGAGACCAACACACCTCCCCTCCCACAGATTAACAGACTCAGACCATATGACTTCATTTGGATTTTTGGACAAGTTATGTAATTGGTCTGTGTTTCAACAACACCGATGGATAGCAGCAACACTTTGGGCCACGGCTGAGCGCAACTGGGTGAGGGTAAAGAACTTCGTTTTTTTCAGCCTAAAAAAATACAAGAGTCTCTATTCTCCAGCCACATCAGCCGGGGCAAGCAACATTTAGGGAAGCAGCGTCCTTCAAAGGACCCTAATATACCCACCCATAATTGTAGCCAAAAAGAGGTAAAGCTTTTAGCAGGGTGCTGAACAGGGGTTTACCTCCTCAGACTGTCTTCTGGCTGCTTTGTGATATAACTTCCTCATCTATCACTGGTCTGTCTGCCTGTCTCATTCTGGGAACTCCTGGACTCTTGGGGGTTGGGGGTCAAAACTTCTTGACTAACACATTTCTCAAAGGAAAGTCTGGGGATTCTACCATACTTCCAAAGGCCAAAGCACGAGAAGGTGTCTCAGGCAGATTCACAGTCACTGTCAGTTTCTTTTTCCCCAGAGTCACAGCTGATCGGCCCTTTACTAATATCCCCACAGATATGATTGCTGCAGATACTAATAACGCTGTCCATATTCCAAGTGCCAGTGCCAATAATGCTCTGGGTATTATCACTGTGAACACCAATAACTACTGCTGAGATTGTCTCCAATAACGCCAGCACACGCTGCAGTGATTGTCCTCGCTAATGCCCAACACCATGACATTGTTAGAGCTGAAGAATAGGCTGAACTGTACCCAGAGGCAGGGGTGGGAGTGGCTTCCTTGAGGACAGAGAGGCTCACAGCTTTCCCTTGGGGTATGACACTTCTAGGGAGATGCCACAGTAAGAGGGACCAAAGGAAGGCAGACCCGGAGGGGCATCAGAGTTCTCCTGGAGGGAGATGTGTCTGTCCACTCCCTCAAGTCCCTTGACATGTATACCTGTTCCCATCCCAAGACCCCTCAGCTCCTGAGCCAGTTTTCTCTTTTGCCTGCAGTGCTGGCCCAGTAGCTAAAGGACACACCTGGGTGTCTGTGCAGCCCATGCCCGAGGCTGCTGCCTCCTGCTACCGGCCTGCCAGCTGCTGTGCTACCTTGGCTTGACTGCAGAGTTGGGCTACATCATCTTGACACATAATTATCTCCCCTATTCTTAATCATCTGAGCTGCTCCCTAATGCAAACTGGGCCTAGCTGCTTAGAGGCACCAAGAGTGGGGGAGGGGGGACTGGGTTGTGGGAGGTCTGCCTTTGCTCTCGCCTCTCTTTTCCTCTCTCTTCCCACCTGGGTCCCATAGATCAAGTGTGTGTGGTGTGGGGATGAAGGGTCAGAGAGAACTGGGCTCCCTTATTGGCTCTGGACTCCACCAGGGTAAGGACAGCTCCATCTGGTCTGCTGTTGGCCAATAGGAGGGAGAGTCAGGGCAAGAGAACCCTCCTACGCCCTAACCCATACCCTCAAAAGAAGCAGGGTCTCTGATCTTTCCTGCTGCCTAGCTGGGCCCAGGAAGTACGTGTTGAAGCAGTAAGAGGAAACTTGCAGGTCCCTAATGTCCCTCACCTAGAGGAGTTCAACTGTCCCAAGATGTCTCCCTGCTGCCCGCACTGTCATCCTGCTGGAGGATGATCTTCCCAGACCCAGCCCTGTCCTCCTCCTGTCCTGCTCATTCACTTTCAGTGGCTACTCGTGCCTGCAGAAAAAGTCCGAACTCCTATATGGTCTGGTCTTGACCTGATTGATCTGTGACCCTAACGCATAACCCTGACTCCCCCTCTCGCCCTTTCATCCCAGCCCAAGTGCCCCTGTACTCTCTCACCACAGATCCTTCTGGCCACAAGGCTGGGTCTATCAGAGAATTTCATACTACCACTGTCTTTGAACATGCCTCTCATCCATCCCTAGGCCCCTCCTCACAGAGCAGCCCTTCCTGGGGCTTACTCTCTCCCCACTCTGAGCTCCCTGGCCTGCAGCCCAGACCTCCACCACAACACAGATATCTGATGGGCCTTTCCGCTCTCTGGGCTCACATATTTTATACGCCTCACTAGACTGTAAGCTCCTTAAGGACAAGAATCATATCTTGTTCTGCTTTGGGATCCTATAGCACCAAGCCTTTCTTGCAACACACACAGGAAGGGTTCACTGAATTGAATTGATTGAGACAATGAATGTGATCAATTGCTCAGAAAGGAGAGTGCTCTGTTCTGGGCCAACCAGGCCCAACCTGGGGTGGCCACAGCCTCATGCCAGTGACTCCCTACTCCTGGCCTCCTTTCATGGCCCATAGGAGCCCAGGAAGCAAAAAGCATACTTGTGTCCAACAGCAGAACGGGAGAGAGAGGTGAGGGGTCCTGTGGTCTATCCTGGCCCCTGAACATCTTTCACTCTAAAAATGCAGGGGCAGTGATTAAAGGAGAAACCCTAGGGTTTGGGGCAGAATCTTCCAAACCACTCAGGGTACCAGGAAGCTTGGCTAAGGCCTGAGTGTGGGAAACCCCCAGGGAGAATGAGAACTAAGGGCTTTTCACACAGCCTCCCCCTGCCCATCAGGGGCTGTGGCCAAAACAACCACAATGAAATTTAGTGAGTGGCAAAGGCCGTGGCAGCCAAATGGGTTTAGATATTTGGGAAGAAGGAAAAATAGAGCCAGACAAGCTGTTTCCCTGTGAAATGAGGCCATTAGGGCTTCTGGAAGGAGGCCAGCACCAGGTCATCACTGTCTTTCCAGGCCCCGGCCTCTCCTACACTCCGTCCCTTCTGCTAGAGACCAGTTCACACTCTCTTTCCCTGGCCCCAGGGAATCTCAGCTTTGTCCCTTTTCTCCATTCCTTCCCCTCTACGGCTGATCCAATCAAAGGCTCATCTAGGCTTGGGATGACCATATGATTTACTATCTAAACAGGGCATTTTTGAGAGAGGAAAGAGATGCTGACTGGCCAAGATGCAGAGACAAAAGGCATAAATTGGGACCATCTGGGCTAATGGGATATATGTCACCCCCTTTATGCTCTTCTTTAGAGGATTCTGTCTGTTTCATGGTATAAACCCTTAAAATCATAAGCCCTCCCTAAACCAGGAGGTGACTGCCTCCCCAGCAGGGACCACGAGATTGGGGCTAGAAGCAGGGTCCGGGCACTGGTGTCCCTGTTTGCCTGGGCCTGCCAGCTTCTGGCCTCACGCACCAGAAGAGAACCGGATGGTCACCAGGGGACCTCTAATGTCATCCGTATGAAAAACACCTTCTCCCAAACTCACAGCCACCACTCTCTCCGCTTACTTCCTTTCCCCTCTCCTCTTCCTCTTTATTCCCCTATCTACCTCCCTGCTTAACAGCTGGCTGCACCATGAGGTTACAGGGGATGACAGAAGGCGGGAGAGGAGCCTGAGTGGTATCTGCTCCCATGGGGGAACACAGAGAAGAAACCATGAGTGGTTTTAGTGGGGCCAGTGTCCATGTGTCACAGAGAAAGGACACCAGGGTCAGCAGCATGTGACACCACTCCCCTATTTCCTGATGGTTTGGGATCAGGTAAGGACAAAGCAAGTTGGCCTTTTATCCTCAGGTCACAGACCAGATGTCCCTGAACCTCCAAAACCTTCCCAAGGTACGTGGTTCATGCTTCTCCTCCTGGCATCCCACAGGGATATCGGGGTGAGTCCCAGAGGACGGGGAGGCAGTCAAGGCTGCTGAGCAGATGGTGAAGCTATTGGCCCCACCAGCAGCCTGCCTCCCTCTCTCCAGGAGCCAGCAGGGCAGTGGGGGGACCTGGGCTTTGCGACTAAAACTGATCTCACAGCAGAGCAGCTGCGAGGCCGGGCCGAAACCGGAGCTCTGAGTCCAAGGACAAAGCATGCACAGGGAAGCCAAGCCTCTTCCCTCCTCCCTACCTTCATCACGTTTCCTCTTCTCGCCATTGGAGCGAGGGATCCCCAGGATCCCGTTGATGGAGTAGGATCCCACTGGATCATTGGAGGCGCTGGAAACAGGAGGGGAGGCCGTACTGGGAACTGGACGAGAGTAAGGAGGAAATGCCATCAGGATAGCAGTTGTGATCGCAGGCCAAAGCCCCAAGGCTGGGGGCAGAGAGAAGCAGAGGAAATAAGGAGGGATGGGGAGCCCATATTCCACTTCTTCCTCTGAGGTTTAAGGGGGAAGGCATTGCTGCACACAGAGCAGGCTATTCACTTCTGTCCATCCCTGGGCTGAGTGGTGACCAGTCAACCCCAAGCCTTCTCTGCAGACCTATAGATTTTGCTGGGGCCCTTGAACTCACTCCCCTGAAGATGAATGGAAATACCAAAGCTGACTCCATCTAGAAGGTGACTCAGCACTCCTATAGTGAGCGCAGCTCCGAAGAGGCCTCCTTGCACAGCTCGTCCAATCCCTGGGGCCCAGAAAATCCTTCTAAACAAACCCCAGCTCACAGTCTCCGGGGCTGAGTCTTTACCAATCCTGATTTAGAATCTGTGGCTTTCTAAGACCTGTCTCTGAATCTCTAGGAGACACAAGAATGGTCTTAATATTCTCCAGGAGTGCATACCTCCTCTCTCCTAGTTGCTTCTGGTCTTGAAATCACTTGAGAAGTTCCTACTTTCCCCCTCAGGGCACAGACTAGTGAACACATTCACTCAGTAATGATCTACTCAGGTACAGCCCGGCCCAACCCTTCTTCCCAGCACATGCTATGGTACAGGCCTAGTAAACAACAGATCCTGCCAACTCCAGGAGGGCTGGGGCCTGCCATTCTACTTCCTGCTGGTCAAGAAAGAAAGGCACAACTGCCAAGACGGGCAGCGAGAAAAGTTTGATCACATCCCAGCTCCTTAAGCCCTGGTACCAAGTACGCTTGGGCCAAAGAGAAGACTATGTTTGGAGTGGTGGCGGTAGAAATATTAGCGGATGTTTTGGTAGGGCCTGGGTCATGTCCCTGAAAGGCCCTGAACAAGGATCAATAAATAAGGAGGCTGGAAAAAGGCAGAGAGTTACTGAGTGGAAGACAGAAAGACAGAAATCAAAAGAGACAGGCCATGAGGCCGGAGGGAGAGACAGAGGAACAAACCCAGAGCTTCACATACAGAGACAAGGAAAGAGAAAGGGAAAGACAGAGAGGGGGAAGAGGAGAGAAGAAGGGAGAGGAGAGGAGAAAAGAAAATGATCATTTTAGAAATTAAAAAATGAAGTAAGAAAGTAGATATTAAAAAAAAAAAAGGACAAGTGGGGAGACAGGATCAGATAAAAACAAAAGCTGCAGAAGGAGGAGGAAGGGAAGGAGAAGAAAAACTAAAGGGAAAATATTGATGGGGAGGGAGAGAGAGAGATGGAGAGAGAAGGAAGGATCCTAGTGAGCTAGTCTCTCTGAGCCTCTAGGAGCTCAGAGAGAGCACAAATTAGAAACAATAGTTCTGGGGTGGAGCTGCGTACCCAGCTCTCCTAGGTGGGGCCCTGCTTCCCCACTTCCCTGAGCCCTCTTACCAATGGTGTGGCCAGGTGCAGTCACTCCAGTCCCAGCCCCGTCTGGTGTTGGGTGAAAAGGCTGCTGAACTTTGGTCCGGATGATCCTGCAACAGCATCACAACAGCATCACACATCACATGTCGCACCAACTGTAGCCCAGAGTAGCAGAGACCAGCCTCTCAGCTCCTTTGGCACCCATCTGCTCCCTGCACCCTGCCCTCACAGACTGCTGCAAGGCTCGAGTTTTCCCTCCTGTGTGCTCCGCCGACCCAGCCTAGTGCAACTCTGGGTGGAGGCAGTCTGCGTTCTGTCCGGCCGGGAGCGCTTCATCAGAATTGCAGCTTGATTCTTGGTATCAGGTACTGGGGCAGCAGAGTGAATAGAACATAGCACCCTTCCCCTTTCTGGGGTGGGACTGCCCACCCTCCCCTTCCTTATCACATGCAAATCTCTTCCTGGGAACAGGACTCCCTGGGTCTGGAGACCATTTCGGAGCTGGCTTTCCTGTTGGAACTGTACCACATACCTCCACAGTTGAGGAGGGGCTGAGCTTTCCCCATTTACTGAGCCGAGGAGAAGTAGCCAGGGAAGGGCTGGGTCACTGGTAACCCTCTTGTCTCCATGATTCCAACACAGCATATGGTCCCCTTGTCAGGCCCTGAACAACTTCTTGAGCCCACTTACTGCTCTCAAACAAGTCAAAGCCCTGTCCCTGTACAACTTGCTGGCCTGATGGCCTCCTTTTCTGAGGTTCTACTTGGATCACAGCTTCTTTACCAGCCTAGTTGAAAAGCCCGGTGCCCCCCACTGTGCACTCTGGGGTGAGTCAAACATCCCAGGACTGGGGATGAGCTGATTTATCAGTGCTCTGAAGGACCCAGGACTGTGTGATACAAAAGGCCACCCTCGGGCCAGGACTGAGGAATGCTCCCTCCCACCCACTGGTCAAATAAGGTGCCCTTGGAAGCAATTTTCCCAACAGTGTTGCTTTTCCCTGCAGAGATGTGTGTGATCCAAGTTCACCTCAACCAGCAGGTAAGTCATAAGCCATGAGTGGACTCCTCTCTAACCAGCTTTCACTGAGCACTGCCAGGCAACAGAAATAAGGCCCTTGTCTCAGTGTTGGATATAACGTTAGGGGAGGAAGACACACACTCAAAGAAAGTTAAGTAACTCCAAGGGGGCCAAGTTGTAAATGCCAAAAGGAGGCAGAAAAAAAATCATTCCCCCCTGCAGGTGGGGGAAGTGGGAGAGAAGTCACTGAGGAGGAAACTTGATGTAGCCCTTCAAAGCAGAGTAGGGCTGAACATACAGACACAGGAACTAGAGGCGCGGAGGATGGTGGACTTACTGGATGGAGGATGGGCACTGGGGTACATGGCAGGGGCCCCATGTCCTGCTTCCGGCTGCCATTTTGTGGCTACATAGTTTGGGGCTCATCATTCCACTTCTCTGGGCCTCAGTTTTTTCTTTTGTAGCTCTAAAAGTCTTAGACTACGGGATCTCTAAGGTATCTTTCTCCAGTACAGAACATGATACTAAGATGAACAAAGAAGCAGAGGGCAGAGCATTATAAGCAGGTGTTGGAGGAGGGTAGAATCAAAGCATGGGGACCAAATGGGCATGATGTTTTAGGGGCTCGTGCCCAGACTAGTCAGCCAGAACAGGGGAGGTATGCAAGGGAGCGCGAGGAAATGAGGCTGCAGACTTGGAAGTGATGAGAATTGTGATTTCCCACTTACTGAGCATCTATTATGTGCCGATATTATATGCAATCCATGCCACTTATATACACTACTGTTAATTCTCACAACCTCTAAAGTATATACTATTATCCTCATTTTGCAAATTGAAAACCAAAGCTGACAGAGGTTAAGAAGCTTACTGGAGATTACACTGCCAATTAGGGTAGAGCATGTACAAACGGATTCTGGTAAAGCAATATAGAGGCAGGAGGTGATGAGAAGCTGATCTCAGGAAAGAAAGGAAAGAATTTGCAAGATATTGTGAAGGTAGCATGGCCAGGATTTAGCAATAACTGGAGTCAACCGTGGCTCTAGAACCCCAAGTCTGGTAACTGAAGAGCTGATGGTTTGTACCACTGTCAGAAAGGGATGCAGGTGGTGATGTTGGTCCTAGACATGCAGCATCTGAGGTGGTGAAGGAGTGTCCAGGTAGACATGCCCACGTCCCAACTGGCACAACAGATATGGGTTTAGAAGATTGTCAAGGAGAGGAACGTTGAATGGTTCAAGAGGCCGGGGGAGTGGATACCACTTTCAGAGACTGGGGGAAAGAACCTGACCTTGCAGGGGTCAGAACTGGTCACACTGGAAATGGCAGAACCAGGATTCAGCAGTTTCACCTAACTCAATGGAGAAGAACATTCCCAGAAGGAGAACATAACCCACAGTGTCAATAGCAACGTAAGGATTGGAAGGAATTGGAAATAAGAGGGGGCATAGATTTGGGGATTTTGGTGACTACTAATGACCATGGGGAGAGAAGTATCAACAAAAGGAAGGAGCCAGCCAAAAGGGGCTAAGAAGTTCATAGGAGAAAGGGAGTCAGCAAGAGTCGATGCATGCCTAGAAGTTTGTAGAAAAGGAAAGGAGAGAAAAGTGGGAAGCTGGGGGATTAAACTGGCAGCTGAGTAGAGGGAAGGCTTTCTAAGGTAGGGGTGACCTGGAATAGTTTGTAGGCTGAGGAGTAAGAACTTGTGAAGAGGGAGCTACTGAAGTAGGCTGAGAGACGGATGGTGAGAGCAAGGCAAAATAAGGAGAACGGAATGAAAGGCATAGGGGAGGAGTTAGGGAGAGATGGCATACTTTGAGGGAGCCAAATGCTTGGAAAAGGAGTTTTTATGGGTTTTATCTCTTAGCAAAGCAGAAGGCAAGGTCATCTCCCAAGAGTTGAGGCAGGAGAAGAGGGTGGTTGGAGCATAATCACAATAGGAAAGACTGTAGTAGCCAAGGGCAGTGTAGACTGGTCTACACAAAAGGTCTAGAGGAGACGAAGCAGTTCAGAGCAGCTGCTTCTAATTCATTGCCACAGCAGCTTCTGGGATCTCACTGACCTGTGGGTGGCTCTGGCTTGAGGGCTGATGGGCTGTGGACTGAGGAAGCCTCAGAGCTGGGGCTAGATGAGACAGATAACTGCTGGCTTTGTGGAGTTTCTGTCTTTGTTACTCAGCGCCTCTGACCCCTGGGGCGCCAGTGCAGATTTAGCTGAAGCAGCAAGTGATGGAAAATCACTACTCCCTGACAGCGGCTTGGTGGTGCCTGGGAGAGGAGCTGGGCAGAGTGCCTGCTGTGAGTTACTGATACTCTTGGTGTCCATCCATGCCCCCTGGGCTGTGGGCACTTGCGAGTCCCCAGAACTGATCTCAGGGAATTTAAGAACCGGGATTGTGGAAACCTGATGGTCACCCGTTGACCTCCGGCATCCCGCACACAACCCATGGAAATATCACTAGAGGTTAAAAAGATAAAGAAAAGCAGCTGCTTTGGGTGACTGCCTGATACAATTTTCCCCCAGCTCCTCCTTTCTTCTCCTCCAATTACTTTTCATTCGTGGCCCTACAGACAGCCAGACACAGCTAAGCCTCCGTGGGCGCAGGCCGGGTTGGCCTGGAAAGTCAAGCCTGGCATACAGGTCTTTGGAGGGTGCAGAAGGGAGCCCTGGAGAGCACATCTCTACCTGGAGGCTGGAAGATGCTATTTCCGGTTTCCAGAAACACTGCCTGATCAGGGTCCTGCCCACCTCTCTTTCCAGCATGCTTTCTTCCCAAAACATCACAGGGATGTTTTTTCTCCCCTAACTTTCCTGGAACCTCCAGGCCTCTGCCTGGGCCCAGCGTGGAGACTTCTGGCGCTCAGCGTCTCCCACACACGCAGGAGTATGACTAGAGCATAGGGACAAAGAGCTCAGTCTGAGTCCCAGCTCTGTTACTTATTGCCTGTGAGACCTTTGGTAGTTTCTTATTCCCTCACCTGTATAATAAAATAATAATACTATTTACTTCCTAGAGCTGTTGTGAGGATTAAGTAGGATAATCCATGTAAAACAGTTAGTATGATGGCTGGCTCAACAAGTACTAGCTATAGTAGTAACAACAACTAGTAGTAGTATTATTCCTATGGGGGACCCCTAGGCCTGGCAGCTTTCTAGTTAGGGGATGAGCCAGGTGCAGGTAGGAGGTCTCTCAGCCCAACGTGCCCCAGCCTGGTCAGTGCAGATGCCTAGAGACCCTGGGAAGAGCATTGAGAAGACAGGAAACAACAGCAGCAGGTGTCACAGTCTGACCCAAAAAGAGGTTGCATCAGAGAAGACAGACTGGGGACTCCTGCCTAGGGGCACTGGGACAGATCTGTAGACAGTATGAGCAGCAGCTTCTTCCGGACCCAAGAGATAGCAGGCGGTGCGGCAAAGCTTTAGAGTAAAGGATGACAAGGGAGGTGGAATCACTCCCTCTTGGGTAAATTCCCAGGAGGCCTTCACCTCCCACCAAGCTGGAGAGGAAAACAGTCCAGTGGCTCTGTGACTTGGACTGAGAGCCCGTACCTCGTCTCCTCATGATAGTTTGTTAACTCATAAAGAAACGGAGAAGCCCTCAACATTCTTAGAAAGCACTGGGGACATTCTCATTCCTCCTCTGGATCTACACCCTCTTCCTCCTCCTTCCCTCCTTCCTTTTTCTGTGTTTCACTCTCTTCCTCTGTCTTTCTGTCTTCCCTCTTTGTCTGTCCGTCTCCTTGCACCCTGAAGTCCCACCGTGGCTGTGCGAGTTTATTGATTCCTGAGAGCTGGGGGAAAGTGGGAAGCAGGGCTGGGGTGCAGGCTCAGGGATGGAAATAGAAGGCTATAAATTATTTGTGACAGGAAAGCAATAGTGGCAGAGTGCTGAGCACAAGTCCTGTGTCACTATTAGATTCCTTTTAGCCTGATGACACTGTAAAAAAGGTTAAGTGTCTGCTGGAATCGTACACCTGGGGGGCCGGGGCAGCCTGGGAGCAGAACAAGCCACTGAGAGCAGGTATATCAATTCTCCAGGCCAATAATATTCCTCTCATTGATCGCCACGCAAAGTTCAAAAATCTCATTA